TTTTGTCCAGCTTTAACTTCAATTGTAAGCCATTTTCTTAGCTCACCAAAGACTAAGACTATATCGAATTCTTGATCCTGATGAGGTTTACCTGTAAACCTTTGGAACATGCTGACGTCATAGTTAACAAAGAGAGCTGTTCTTGATGTTTCAGGAATTCTTCTCAAGTACTTATACATTTCATTTTCAGCAATGTCACCTTTTTTATTCCCCATGAAGCTGTCAACTTTGCCCTTCTCTCCCAATTCCACAGTTTCATACATTTGTTTAGCTAACTGAGCAGGAGGTAAATCAGGGGTTTGGATAGAACAACCACTATACAACCATTCTTCCGGAAATTTGACACTGACTGCGCTAAGATCTGGAAGATATTGCTTAGCAAACCAGTCTGAAGCTTCAGCAGGTGTCCACTCTCCTTTCTCCCCCCCTCCTAGATGGTAAGTATTCGTGCTTTCTCTTCTTCTTTTCTTCTTTTCTTCGTTTCTTTCTTCTTTTCTTCTTCTTTTCTCTCCCCCTCCTAGCAGGTATTTATTTTTGCCTTCTTCTTCTCCCATGTTCTCCATCTTGATTTTTCCTAAAATTTAAAAGTAATAAACGCTTTCTTTTCTGGGATACTTTTAGTGCTGGATATACTGTATGTGATGGGGCCCCTGCTCTCCCCCTCATTCTAATTCCCTTATATATTTGTTTGATATTTTAAGTGTCTTTTAAAAAATCGTTATTCTCTAGATGTTAAGTTCCCAGAATCATTTAGAGGAATAAGTGTTGTTTTTGCTTCGCCACTTTATCCCTTTTTCCTTTTCCTTTCTTACTGTAGTGGAGATCTTGTGCTTTGTTTAATATCAGAATCTTCCTTTTTTCTTAATAGCCTATGCTCGCTAAGAAAGAAAGAAAGAAAGAAAGAAAGAAAGAAAGAAAGAAAGAACTTATGAAACTGAGGCTTTGTAATCACGGGGAAAAAAAACTACAAATATGATAAAATACATCATAAAATCATGCGCAAATTGTGTAAGAATTGTTTGCCACAACTTGCATATTTACTAACACACTAGATGCATAATTCAGTTCAAAAAAGTGATTTTTTTGCAAATTGCACCACAGACAAAAAATGCACGCAAAATAACAGTTTATTAATTCTGCTGGAAACCTATTTGCAAAATGACAAATTATCGATATTTTAGTAAAGAGGAAATAGGACATGCCAAAACTTATTTTTATCTTGAAAATTCAGAATATTGTGAATCCGACTTTTTCTTGTTTGGTTTAAGAGCTCTCTAAACCCTATTCCTGCTGGGGGGGGGGGGGCAATTTGACCCCCCCTGTAGTTTTTTTACATAACTCAAAAATTATTGGTTTGAGGCTGTTGAAATTTTCTGACTTTCCTACATACCCAAAGCCCTCCCTTTAGGCCTAAAACCGGGCTTTAATACTAACTGCCTGAGTCCTCAGGCACACTGCCTGAATGACTGCTTTTTCCTGTAACAAACTAAATCTTTGTTTTGACCTACTTTCACTTGTCAGATTTTGATAAAATTT